GCCGTCCTTAACATACTGAATACTTTGTAAGACTGTAGGACTATTGCACGTCTTAAATAGTCTATTAACCATGACAGCCTCTGTAGACCAAAGAAAGTATATCCCCACACACCACCCCCCCTGCATGCACACATGCAAACTCACAGGTGTCTTGTCATCTTCTGCTACTCAGATTCCATTCTCAATTCTTTAGTTGCCTTGTTTTACTTAAATTGTTAATTCTTTTCCTTTCATGCTTCCTCTGAATCCCTTCTCTCACTGAGGTGATGCATTTTTTTTCATGAACACATTTAGCAATCAAGCGCTTTTGTGCTCATTTGATTTCAAGGGGAAACCTTTCTGTAATAGATTTTATACTGACCTTTTACTCAAAGGTTACTTCTTAGCTTTTCTTATCTTTTTGGCTTTCATTGTTGTTCTATATTACTATATCAGTGTTATATATCAGTATATATTAGTACTATATTTTATTTATATATATATATATACTACTGTTCTAATGAATTACATTACTGTGCTTGATTATTTCTGTGGTTATGAATTATGTACAGTACGCATCTCTAAATTTTTTTAGATATGAAATCCCGATATCCATTATCTAGAACAAGCAGAACATAAAAGTCACTAATTTCCCCTGATGTTGTTTCTAAGTAGCGTGTGTCTATGGGTCCCAGGGACTTACACTTTTCATGTTGCAAGAACGGTACGCAGCAGCCCTGGGAACTCTGATGCCAGGTCCATATCTCCAATGGGGTGAGCGACGTCTCCTTTGCTGATCTTGAATCCCGGTGGTGGTTTGGACATGTTCACAGCTTGGAAGCACAGTCCCACCGCTTGCCACCAATGTAACGGAACTGACCCCAGACTGCACTAGGGTATTTCCGTTAGACTCCCGCTTCCCTGTCCCTACACAGATCCACGGACACCACCGCTGGCCATACAAGATGAGACAGCACCAGACTTGAAGGAAACCAGGAGATAGACTGCTTTATTTTAACACAGATACAAGATATATACACAGGGTGGGGCAATACATTTAGTAACAAGAGACACACAGCAGACACCCCCCACCAAGCCAATACACAAACACATACATCCCATAATAGTTTTCTCCCAAGCAAGACAAACAATAGAACAATGGGACAACCACATGGCAGTAAACAATTAACAACCTCCACCTATACATGTCTACACAATATCAGGACATTCCACCCTGCACCCCTAACAGGCACAGGGTGACTTACACATAGGATGGATATAGGGAGCTGAGACAGGGGTCTCCCCACCTCTCTAAAGTGAGCTGTGTTCCATGGGCCCCCACCCAAAGTGAATCCCGTCACACCCCTCCAAACCAAGATAGTGGGAGAAGCCGTTTTGTTACCAAAATATTGGTATCAGACTCTCAGCTGCGTTAAGTAAGTGAGGGGGCATATCATGGAAAAAATAGAGGAGGGGTGTATTCCTACTTGGTTTAAGGGTTGTCTTCTGTATCAGGGGAGATTGAATCCCAGAAGCTCTTGATTTTAGGACATGACCACCATTGATGGGGAAAGGTTCCGTTTTGATTACTTTCTTTCCAGCACCTTGAATCTGTTCCTGAAAATTTTTGTGCAATCTATTATACTATCTGGCTAAGAACTTAAAACATGACTTTAGAACCTTGGTTCTTATATAAGAGGCATGTGTGAGTCTAATGATTTTTTTGAGCTGAGGTGGAGTGAACTCAGTGTTGAGTTCTTTCTTCCATTCTCTAATGAAACATGGAATTCATGTAGAGGAAGACCAAAGTAAAAGTTTTTATACAACTGGGAAAGATGATGTCTCGTGTCTTGAGTTGTTATGCACAGACACTCAAATGGTGAGCGATCTGAATGTGCTCATATTTTAGGCGTCACTTGAAGTCGAATAGTTGTTGGTATGTTCATAGATCCATAGAGAATGCAACAAAGGAACGCATCAAAGTTTGGTGTTCCCATCTTAGCCCCAAATCTGAAAAAAATATTTATAATGTAGGGTTACATCAGGGAGGCCTAGTCCATTGTCTGCCTTCAGTCTGCGAAATATTGTGTACACTAATCTGGGATTTTTCCCGTGCCAGACAAATGTTGAGAAAATTCTTCTCAGGCATCTGGTCTGAGGAAGAGTTATTGGAGTAGTGTGTATTAAGTAAATAAAGCATAGGAGAATGGTCATCTTAATTACATTTATCACCCCTAGCCAAGTGAGAGAGAGGCCTTGCCATGTCCGAACGCCGGCATTCACTATGTCAGGCAGAGTCCCATAGTTGAGGTCAAATAACTGCTTAACGTCCAGCAAAATGTGAGTCCCCAAGTATGGAGGGAATTCAGAGCACCATACAAAGGAGCAGGATTGGCGCAAAAGAGAGGATAGTGCCCCAGGGAAGTTAACAGGAAAGATTTCAAATTTGGTGTAAATGTTTTTAAAATTGGGCAGCTGCCCAAATTTTCAAGTTGAAAATTAGAACTAGGAGAGTGATGAGCGGCTGGGAAATATAAAATAGGACATTGTCTGCATAAGCGAATAATTTGTGTTCTCTCAAGCCTATTTGGATATCCATAATGTCCCCATTGCATATGAGCTTCTGTAGAAAGAGTTCTAGGAGCAGTGTGAAGTGCAAGAGGGATAGAAGGCACCCTTGTTGGGTTCCATTACCAATAGGAAAGGGTCAGGACAACGTACCATTCACTTTCACCCAAGCTTTGTATCTGTGTTAAGGGCTATGATCCAGTCCTGTATCCAATCCCCAAGGCCCAATGCTAATAGAACATTTCTTAGAACTTTGCTTCTAATTGGTTAATTCTCCTTTCTGTTGTGGAACCTCCAATAGGTAATTAATTTCCCTGCCACAGTAGGGTTTGATAAAGTTTTTTTTTATGAATGACACAATTGATATATTATTCCTGCATGATATGCATATTTATAAATCCTAACAACCCAAACACATTGCAGAAAATCACATTTTCATGTCACATTTAGGCTGATGTAAACACATAATTGAAAAAGACTATTCACAGGTTACACATTGTAGCCTATGAACATATTTATCTTATGCATATGTGAATACAACAAACTTAGAGACAGCCAGGCAATTATTTTCAGAAACGATGAGCATTGGCAGCCCAACTAAAGGTTTCCTTGAATATATTTTGGGGGAAAATGGTCCTTTAAAGTGACCGTCATAATTTAGAAATACTGCAGTCAAAAGTCTGCTGCAAGAGAAGAACCAATCTATTCACCTCTCCTGTGGCCCACGACTCCTACTTTCTGTCTGTTGCAGCCTCCACCAGTGTCTTCAGAATTCAAATCTTCTGGGAGTCTCAGATGCCTGTGTCCCCTAATTAACAGTGGTTCCTTCCTCTGACCTCAAGTCACTACAAGGCTCAGCAGTGCTGTAGGGGTCAGAGGAAGTAACTATCACATGGCTGGGGACACAAACATCCAACATTTCCACAAGTGTTGAAAGTGATACTAAAGGCTTAATTTTTTTTTAAAAAGCAAACATGTTATACTTACCTACTCTGTGCAAGGGTTTTGTGCATCCATCTCTTCTCGGGTCCCCCGCTGCTGCTCTGGGCTCCCCCTCCTCAATGCGACTTGCTATGGGGGCACTCATTCATGCTCACTCCCGAGCCTCGCTCTGTGTGTCCTTATAACTACAAATGATACTAACAAAAATAACAACATTACAGTATTATTTATGTATTTATTGTTATTGTAAAATAGTTAAAATTTAGATTGCATATGTGTTCAGCAAATTAAATCAAATTACTTTAAATGCTTCCTAGAATTCAGTAATGAGGTCTTTCCATATGCAGGTATACAGTATGATAAATTAATACAGCTTGGCCCAGATATCTAGAATGTCTATAAATGCATATTAGAAGGTGTCATGCATGTGTGGAGCTGTGGTTTTAATAAATGGATTAGAACCTGTAAGGCTAGATTCCTCGGGAGGCTGGCAGCACAGTACACCCAGATCTTTCTCCCAGTACAGGATTGATCATAGCACTGCTAGGCATAAATACTTCAGGGGATTGAACAGATTGGTCTCAATCCCTTGGGGAATAGGATGCATAGTTATCCTTATTTTTTGTTTCATAAGAATATATAGAACAATTATTTAAGGGCTCCTTAAGTCCGCCTTTTACAGAAAAAATTAATAAATGCACATATACTGTATTTGCAGGAAATTCTGCATTTATTTATTTATTTTGCATAGGAGTAGGTACAATGTCAGGCTCCTGCAGACTCTTTCTCTACCACAATGAAGGGGATGGATTTATCAAAACTGGAGCACCCGCAATCTGGAGCAACTGTACATAGTAGCCAATCAGTTTCTGTTCTTCACTTTCAAAGCTTAGACAAGCTGAAGATATAATCTGATTGGTTGCCATACACAGCTGATGCAGATTTTGACTGCTCCAGTTTTGATAAATTCCCCCCAATGTCTGTACAGATTTCAAAAGTGACCACTGCTGTGGGGGAGAAAAAACCCCATACGCTTTCACCGGTGAGGCCATTTTTTGGGGGGGTGGATGATTTGCCATTTGCATGTTACACCCTAAATATGAGTGTAACATGCAACATGGGGGAGCTCTTGTGCATAATGAGCATGGTATTGACACAGCTCCAGATGATCCACATTGGCTCACAATTGCTATAATCCAAAAATATTTAGACAGAATAAAGGTGAATAAAGCACCTGGGCTGGATGGCATACACCCACGGGTCCTTAACTACCTGCCGACCGCAGATAGCCGAATGACGGCTGCACTGCGGCCGGCCAGTTCTGGGTGGACGTCATATGACGTGCTCTCAGAACGCGCTCTCCTGCGCGCCCCAGGGGGCGCACACCCGGCGATCTCCATGATCGCTGTTTCCTACGGATACAGCTGATCACGTGATGTGGTAAAAGGCCAATCACAGCGGCCTTTTACCACATGATCAGCGGTGTCCAATGACACGCTGATCAGAGGAAAATGCAAGTGCCGGTTCTCGGCTGCACTTTCCTCACGCTGTCAGATCATAAGGAAAGTACTGCCGAGAACCGGCAGTTGTCAGAGCGGGGATCGGCACCGATCATCAGGGCACTGATGATCAGTGCCCTGATGATCGGTGCCCAGCAGTGCCACCCGCAAGCTCCGCCCACCTGTGCCCAGCAGTGCACCCACTAGCTCCGCCCACCTGTGCCCAGCAGATCACCCACCTGTGCCCAGCAGTGCACCCACCTGTGCCACTCTGCAGTGTCACACACCTGTGCCCAGAAGTGCCACCCACCTGTGCCCAGCAGTGCCACCCACCTGTGCCCACCCACCTGTGCCCACCTGTGCCCACCCACCAGTGCCACCCACCAGTGCCACCCACCAGTGCTGCCAGTCAGTGCCACCAGTCAGTGCCCAGGGGTTGTGCCAGTCAGTGCCGCCAGTCAGTGCCCAGCAGTGATGCCAGTCAGTGCCGTCTATCAGTACCCATCATCAGTGTCACCTATCAGTGCCGCCTATCAGTGCTGCATATTAGTGCCGCCTATCCGTGACACCTCATTAGTGCTGTCTATCAGTGCCGCCTATCCGTGCCACCTCATTAGTACTGCCTATCAGTGCCCTTTAGCGCTGCCTATCAGTGCCCATCAGTGCCGCCTATCAGTGCCCATCAGTGCTGCCTCATCAACGCACATCAGTGAAGGAGAAAAATTACCTGTTTGAAAAATTTTATAATAGAAACAAAGAAACTTTTTTTTTTTTTCAAATTTTTTGCAACTTTTTGTATTTATAGCGCAAAAAGTAAAGCGCCCAGTGGCGATTAAATACCACCAAAAGAAAAAAAACGATCAAAATTTCATATGGGTACAATGTTGCATGACCGCACAATTGTCAATCAAAGTGCGGCAGTGCTGAAAGCTGAAAATTGGCCTGGTAAGGAAGGGGGTATAAGTGCCTGGTAGGCAAGTGGTTAAAGAATTGAGCTCTGTCGTTTCAAAGCCATTGTTTCTAATTTTTAGGGACTCTTTAATGATTGGCATAGTACCACTGGATTGGTGTAAGGCCAATGTGGTGCCAATATTTAAAAAAACGGGTCAAAATCTTTACCAAGTAATTATAGACTTGTCAGTTTAACTTCTATAGTTGGGAAGATACTGGAGAGTTTAATGAAAGACCACATAGATGAGTTCTTGCTGGAAAAAAATATTTTAAGCAACAGACAGCATGGATTCACGAAAGAAAGAAATTGTCAAACAAATCTGATTTCTTTTTATGAGAAGGTGAGCAAAACCCTGGACAGAGGCGTGGCAGTGGACGTGGTATACTTGGATTTTGCAAAAGTGTTTGACACAGTTCCCCACACACGGCTAATGTGTAAGGTAAAGTCTACAGGCTTGGAAAAATCTGTATGTAAATGGATAGAAAACTGGCTAAAAGATCGTATTCAGAGAGTAGTTGTTAATGATTCATACTCTGAATTGTCTAAGGTTGTTAGTGGTGTACCCCAAGGTTCAGTGTTGGGACCCTTACCTTTTTAATATATTTATAAACAATATAGGGTCTGGGATTATAAATACCATTTCAGTCTTTGCAGATGACACCAAGCTGTGCAGTGGAATAACGTCCTTACAGAATGTCTCCAATTTACAAGCTGACCTCAATGCACTATTTAATTGGGCAACTATGTGGCAAATGAGGTTTAATGTTGATAAATGTAAAGTTATGCACTTGGGGGCTACAGATATGCATGCATCATACATACTAGGGGGAGTACAACTGGGGGAATCAATGGTGGAGAAGGATCTGGGAGTTCTGGTAGATCACAAGCTTAATAATGATGTATAAATACATCAGTGGTTCATATAGTGAACTCGGTGTAGAGTTATTCACCCTGAGATCATCACAGAGGACAAGGGGGCACTCTTTACATCTGGAGGAAAATAAATTTAATCTCCAAAACACGGAAAGGTTTCTTCACAGTGAGAGCTGTGAAAATGTGGAATAGACTCCCTCAAGAGTTGGTTCTGGCCAGCTCATTGGATTGCTTTAAAAAAGGCTTGGATTCTTTCTTGGATACACAAAATATACAGTGGGGCAAAAAAGTATTTAGTCAGCCACCAATTGTGCAAGTTCTCCCACTTAAAAAGATGAGAGAGGCCTGTAATCGGCATCATAGGTAGACCTCAACTATGAGAGACAAAATGAGAAAAAAAATCCAATCACATTGGCTGATTTGGAAAGAATTTATTTGCAAATTATGGTGGAAAATAAGTATTTGGTCACCTACAAACAAGCAAGATTTCTGGCTCTCACAGACCTGTACCTTCTTCTTTAAGAGGCTCCTCTGTCCTGCACTCATTACCTGTATCAATGGCACCTGTTTGAACTTGTTATCAGTATAAAAGACACCTGTACACAACCTCAAACAGTCACACTCCAAACTCCACTATGGTGAAGACCAAAGAGCTGTTGAAGGACACCAGAAACAAAATTGTAGACCTGCACTAGGCTGGGAAGACTGAATCTTCAATAGGCAAGCAGCTTGGTGTGAACAAATCAACTGTGGGGGCAATAATTAGAAAATTGAAGACATACAAGACCACTAATAATCTCCCTCGATCTGGGGCTCCACGCAAGATCTCACCCCGTGGGGTCAAAATGATCAAAAGAAAGGTGAACAAAAATCCCAGAACCACACGGGGGGACCTAGTGAATGACCTGCAGAGAGCTGGGACCAACGTCACAAAGGCTACCATCAGTAACACACTATGCCACCAGGGACTCAGATCCTGCAGTGCCACACGTGTCCCCCTGCTTAAGCCAGTACATGCCCGGGCCATCTGAAGTTTGCTAGAGAGCATTTTGATGATCCAGAATGGGACTGGGAGAAATGTCATATGGTCAGATGAAACCAATATAGAACTGTTTGGTAGAAACACAACTCGTCGTGTTTGGAGGAGAGAGAAAGCTGAGTTGCATCCAAAGAACACCATACTGTGAAGCATGGGGGTGGCAACATCCTGCTTTGGGGCTGTTTCTCCGCAAAGGGACCAGGACGACTGATCCATGTACAGGACAGAATGAATGGGGCCATGTATCGTGAGATTTTGAGTGCAAACCTCCTTCCATCATCAAGGGCATTGAAGATGAAACGTGGCTGAGTCTTCCAACATGACAATGATCCAAAACATACTGCCAACAAAGGAGTGGCTTCGTAAGAAGCATTTCAAGGTCCTGGATTGGCCTAGCCAGTCTCCAGATCTCAACCCCATAGAAAACCTTTGGAGGGAGTTGATAGTCCGCATTGCCCAGCGAAAGCCCCAAAACATCACTGCTCTAGAGGAGATTTGCATGGAGGAATGGGCCAACATACCAGAAACAGTGTGTGCCAACCTTGTGAAGACTTACAGGAAACGTTTGACCTCTGTCATTGCCAACAAAGGATATATAACAAAGTATTGAGATGAACTTTTGATATTGACCAAATACTTATTTTCCACCATAATTTGCAAATAAATTCTTTCCAAATCAGCCAATGTGATTGTCTGGATTTTTTTTCTCATTTTGTCTCGCATAGTTGAGGTCTACCTATGATGCCAATTACAGGCCTCTCTCACCTTTTTAAGTGGGAGAACTTGCACAATTGGTGGCTGACTAAATACTTTTTTGCCCCACTGTAACTGGATACTAACATTTATAGGTAAAGTTGATCCAGGGAATATCCTATTGCCTCTCAGGGGATCAGGAAGGAATTTTTTCCCTTGCAGGAGCAAATTGATTCATGCTTTGCTGGGGGTTTTTTTTTTGCCTTCCTCTGGATCAACTGAGGGTGTAGGATTATAACTTTTTTTTTTTTAATGGTTGAACTGGATGGACTTTTGTCTTTTTTCAGCCAGACTAACTATGTAACTATGGTGCAAAAGGTGGATTTAGCCTTTCAAGCTAGTTAAATCAGAGTTCCAGTCATTTTTGCATTTAATAAAAGTCAGCACCTACGAAAATTGTAGCTTCTGACTTTTAATAAACAGACACTCATTCTCATGGTTCATTCAAAGTTCAACTGCTTCTTCCTCCATCTTCAGAACAAGTGTGTTCCCTCTTGGTTTCAGAACAAGTCTCTACAACAGCTGTTGCTTCTTTGTCTTCCAAAACAACTCTTGCCTCTTCCAAAGTCCAGAACAACTCTTCCTCTCCAAAGTCCAGAACTTCTCTTCTCCTTTGTCTCTCCAAACAACTGTCTTTGTCTAAGCCACATGACTGTTCAAAAGTCCTCTCCCCCTCCTAACTTCCTGGTAGATCATATCCCCTTTTGCCTGACTTCCTCTTCTCGGCTCATAAACCAGTCCGACTGGTTCATTTGCATATCAATAGGAGAGGTCTTAGCTTCTAAAACAAACACATGGTCTTAAAATATATCTATAAATTTCACATATCCAAGCTATGAAAATCACCAAATATCCATAGCAACACATACCACCTCTTGATTTTTATAGCATGATATGTGAAAAACTTTAAACTCAGCATTTCCCAACAGCTTTATAACCTTTGTCCAGGAAAGGGTGAAATAACCCCCCCCCCCCCCCCCCCCCCCCCCCCGTATTGTAAATGGTAGGAAAAAATTCAGTGTTGACCCCCATATGTTTTGGGCAATCAGACTTTTGCCCCTAGAAAGCTGCAACATTCCTTTGAGCAGGGTTAGCAATGTCCTCGGCAGTCTCTGTAAGTTGGAAAGAAATTCCCAGATAAAAGTCTCTTGTCCTCCTGGTAATAAGGAAATTCTCAGATGAAACTTCACTCCCAATTCAGCTGCCATCAGGAAATCATTTGCATCCTCCTCATGCTCTGATCTCCTCTTCTGGTCTGTCTCATCCAATCTGGCCTGATTATCTGCTCTGGCTGCTCCACCACTTTGATGTTCATTTCCTTAAAAGAGTAGGAGACAAAGCAGATTATTTGTTCCTTCCAACTGTGCCAAAAACATAACTCAATGTTGACTTTCTCTATTTGTCCATTGCAAACTGCAAAACTATTGTAGGGTGCCCACTGCTGCCTTGTAATACTTTCATGGAAAGGCATAGATTTCCAGCAGAAAGAATAACCTGCATCTCTCTCCGTGCTGTCCTGAGAACACTGTTCTGATGTTGTCCAGTCTTCACAGCATGGCATTCTCTAGCAATGTGTTCCAGTCTGACAACAAGACACCTAATGTGACTGAATCTACCATTCCCAGCCACTTGCTTCCATCTCTTAAGCAAAGCTGGTGTATGAATCCCATCTATTTCCTCTCTAGGAACCCCACTTAAGTAAATCAGTAATAAAAAAGAATAAAAATAATATAGTTAATGTCTGTGTACACTAGTGTAAAGAAACTAAAATCA